GGATCGGCAGAAAAGGTGTGGGGGAAACTAAGAAATGGCAGGAAATTGGAAGCACTACGTTAGATCTATAGAACGAAGACACTTCCTTTTTTTCTGACCCAAGTCCGAATAACATTTTTTCATATTCGGACTCGAGTCCGAATAAGAATTTTTTTTATTCGAAATTGCACAGACTTTTATGTCCACATGGTTGCGGTGTTTTTAAGCGAAAGCGCAGCTGTGTTCTTGTTCTGTGGTAAGGCAACGTTATACAAGGATGGATTTTGACGAACAAGTTCGAGAAGTTTTTCATAAATTGCAGTGCAAAACTTTATTTTGCTCGTTAGTGGTGATTAGTGAACCTCAAACAGCAATCTCTGCTTGCAACGCAGGAGGAAAACACACCAACACCACTACTAGGCCTAGTGTGTCGACATGTATCGTGTGTGTGTGTGTGTTTGTCTAAGTTGTCTCAGCCACATCGAGACAGTACAAAATATTCACTTTTTTTTTAAAATCTAACCTCCTAGATTTATTTTTTTTAATTGAATATAGAATCTAGTCTGTAATGTATTTTTAAAATATCACAAAAATGAGGGTGCTCGCGAGCAAATAGACTAATTAGGAGGCGCTGATTTAAATCCATCCAATATTCAATGTTTGTTAATCCATGTTCGCACCTCCTGTAGGCCACAGAGATGCAGACGCCGCGACTGTGTCTCAAAATTCGCTCACGGAAGTGGTTGCTAAAACACCGCGAATGTTCCGCAACGGTTTCCACGGCGGTCCTCCGTGTCATAAGAACAGCTAGATCTAGTGATCAAACAGAAAGCAGAGGTTTTCAAACACAGCAGACAACAGACTTTTTCCGTCTTCTTTCCGTCGCTGCTCACTGTTCCATATGAATCGGCCTTTAGGGTGGCGTCAACAAGTGAGAAAGAGAGAGACGAAATAAGTGGTTGTGAAAATAAGCTTTCTTTCTTAAAAAGTAAAGAGGCTCGGTTTCTTTTTTTTCCGCTTTTTATACCCCCTTTGTATGGTTATTTGTTATATGATATTAGTACTATCCTACGTCAAGGCTAGCTTATATCATTGTAATAATGATCAGTTGCC